AATTAATAAACATTCCTTACCCTAATGAAAAATAGCTCAGTAAACCTCCGATCCTGATAAGTGTTAGAGGAAGAAAATGAGCTTTATTGAAGATCATTATAAAATAATCGGTGTGATTCCTTGCTTTTTAACGTTACGTTATGTAAATAAAGCAAAAAAAATTCACTGTAGTTTCAGTTATAGAAATAAGTATCTTACTCAATGTTGAAGTAAAAAATATGATAAACATATAAAAAAAAATATATGTAAATAAATGTAGTAAAACAATAAAATAAAATGTAATAAAATATTTTTTTTGTGTTTTGACACTGCAGAAGATTCTTGTTTATTTAATTAGGAACACATTTTTCTAATATATATATATATATATATATATATAGCTACTTCAAATTTAGCCAATTGGTAGCAAATTTTGATACGGTGTTGTATTGTGTTGGGCAGTATTGTATAATTCTGATATTGTGTGTCTGACATTGTACTAAATTTTGTTCTATTGGTTTNCTACCTTTGTGTTAAGTAATATATATATATAATTCGAAATTCTAATTTTACATGGGGAGATGTGTAAATATATACACTTCCTGTTTCTTCTGAATTTCTGAAACAGGCTGGAAAAATACCATCTTACCAGATTTATTACAAACAAATTCGAATATAACCGTTTGTTAAGGTTTTTTTAGATACGTATTCTGCATTGCATAGCAGCGTATGATGACTTTTCCTGTCATGGGTTCCTATTTAATTTTAATCCTGATGATGTGTGCTGACTTCCCTAGAAGCTTATCAAAACATTTATGCGACCCTTTGTTGAATATAATATTTTTAAACTTGTGCATTTCGACAAAAAGGAGAGTAAAAATGCTATTTTTAAAAAATTGACTTTTAGGGAGAAACCGATTGCAGGTTTGGAATCAGTGACTTAAAAATATCAAGATCCGTTAAAAAAAAATCCCGTTCAATATAAAACATGAAATATTTGTTCCCCATTGTTAATATTCTTTTGTTATTATTGCACAGTAGGCAAAAACAATTTCAAAACATTTTATTGATAACAAAATCACCACACCTAAATTAGGCAAAATGTAGTATTTGTAGAAATGAAACAAAATAATTTGTTCTATTTGTTCCATTTATAACTATTTATTTTTTGCTCTGTTAAAAATTTTGCAATGCATTGAACCATAATATCGATTAAATTTGCTGTAACCTTAATACACAACCAAATTTAATCGTATTATCATTCAAGATAATTATTCCTTGACTTCACGATCGTTCACCTTTAAACAAAAAATACACCGATATTATCGATTTGTTATTGAGGCAACTTTCTTCACATTTTATGATTAGTTACTTTTTCTACATCTCATGATTGGAATAAAATTTTCTTGTACACAAAAGTTACACTTTCAAAAAAAATTGTACAGGGTGCTCTAAAAAATCCCAGAACCTTTTGAAAAAGCGTAAAAAGTAGTTTTTGAAAAAACAATATGATCTTCAAACAATTCAAAGATGACAATTATCATATAGTTGGGAAACAATAGAGTCCAGTTACAGTTGAAATTTGAAATAAAAATTTTACCTCGTAAAAAAAAGTACTTTTTATGAAGAAAAAAAAATTAACTATTTAAATCGCAGTTTTTTTTTTTGTGGTTGCTTGTAAGGAAGTTATGACTAAATAAAGTTTAAAATAAACAGAGAAATTAAGTTTCAATGAAATTTGCAGATATGGTATGAAACTTAGCTGATATGATAATAACCCTGTTTATGTTTCCGTTAGTCCAATGAAGAGGTGTGTAACAAATGTGCGCTGATTGGGGAAACTCAGTAATTACCAACAAAAGAAGTCTTACAATGGTCTTAAGACACAGCAACTGGAAACAGGCATGAAATAGAAGGAAACAGGTTCTCTCTGTGCAAAACTAAATATTCAGAAGGCAAAATTTTTTTAGATTTAACAACTAGTGCGTATGTACTTACTTGTTACTTTTAAACGTCAACTTTTTAATCGATTCGCGTATTTTATCGGATTAATGAAGACTTTTACATTGCGATAGACGAACCTTCGAAGTCGAATTAGTGAACGTGAACTAAAATTGAGTTTTTCCCTCTCATTAAAGGTTTAACTTAAAATAGACATTTTTTCACTTAAGTTAACAACTTTGATTATTTGCCTTTAAACCAAAATAAATAAGAAATAAAATAATTTTTTTACTGAAATAACTTTTTTTATTATAAATAAGCTATTTTTACTTTTCATTTTCAAAAAGAGGGGAAAAAAATGTTAAGAAAAACTTTTTCTTATAAATTGGTTTTTTAAAAAAAATAAGGAAAATTTTAGTTTTTAAAAAACGCCTTACTAAAAGAGAAATGCACACAAGTGTATTCTAAGCCTAAAATTTATGGTGGAATTTAAACCAGCAACCCAATAAAATAAACTTCCATTTCATTTATTATCCTTTACAGCGACGTTACATTTCAACATTTTCTTTGTAAGCTATTATAGAACGTTGTATAAAATTCGAAAATACTTGAAAGCAATTGTGATTGTTACTTGTCTTCTCGATTGGCTTCTGTTCGGAAAATGTTTCCTTTGATCCAGTGAAAAGATGTGTAACAAATGTGCTCCAATTGGGGAAACTCAGTGATTACAAACAAAAGAAGTCTTACAATGGACTTCGAATCCTAAGGTACAGCAACTGGAAACAGGCATGAATAGAAGGAAACAGGTACAGATAATAGGTCATTTCGGGACATAACAACGATACCTTTCAACCAAAAGGGGCGATGTCTTATTCTTTTGTTGCCAAAGACTGTTTATTGATTTTAACTTCTCAAGAAAGTTATTCGTTTTATTTTCATCTGGATATCTTAAACTTTTATTTGACCTGACTGAAAAATATCATTACGTTTTATTCTTATATCATTATTCTTGTTATTCTCAGCATTCTTCTTGCTATTCGCTTGAAACCTCCCTGTTTTCTTTCTTTATTATTAATGTGCTTTTGTATATTATAATACATATTTAAAATGGATAAAGCATTAGCTTGCGCATTTCTAAAATTAGTTGAAAAAATTCAAAGCACTGTGGCAACTTGGCAGATGGAATTTTTCAGTTACGGCGCAAAAATTTCCCTTAATATTTTTTTCCGTTTTACCATTGCAAAATCTTTAAAAATTAAAATTAATAATAGTAATTTTTTTACTTTCATCTTAAAATAACATTAAATACTACAGCAATCGAACTAAAAAATCTAGTTTACTGAAAGTTTAGGTCTTGAACTCGAAATGTAATTCAATATAGATTTAAATAAGTAATCCAATATACAACGCCTACAAGGGAATGTTACTTACAATAAACTCAGAAATAAAACTCGAAATTTAACGCAATGTAGATATACGATACCATGCCAACAGCAATTGAACAAATGAATGTTATTTTTAATAATGCAATTTCAACAGCCATGGATCAAGCGAATCTTATTTACTATAAGTTCAGGAACAGAATTTTAATTTTAATACAATGGAGATATACAATACAAAGCCAACAGCAATTGAACTAGTGAATGTTTTTTACAATGATGCAATGCCAATAGCTGTTGATCAAGTGAATGCTATTTGCATTAATGCAATAACAGCAATTGAATGCATAATAAGTTTGTTTATGTTCTGCATTGTTTCGTGCCTACCTTTGTGTTAAGTATGAAATATATAGTAAAAGAATTGAAATCTTTCTAAAAGAATCTTTATGAAAGAATATAGAATGTGTTGCTCATAATAGAATGGAAAAACCAGATGCTAACGTTAACAAATACCGCGTTTCAACAACCAAGCAGGGATAACCACACTTCGTCACTTACCGGTATGAACCACATGTTTTATCAAAAGATCTAGAATTGTTGCCAATTTATATTTCAAATTAGTAAGTAGTTAAATTTAATATGAGTAATTTATGTTATTTATATCGGCATAAATCGTCATCGCCATAAATTTTTAGAATTCCAGTTAACAAAAGAATTTATAATCCTTTCCACATTTGGAGTCTTAAATACGTGAAGCGTTTGTGGCATTATAGGGATAAGCCACTCTTTTTCCAAAAGGGACATTATTACATCACAATTTTTCTTAGCTTTATTTTCACATAAATTGATCATGCGAATGTTATTTACTATAAGTTCAGGAGCAAATTTTGAATTTTAATACAATGGAGATATACGATACAAAGCCAACAACAATTGAACTAGTGAATGTTGTTTACAATGATGCAATGCCAACAGCTGTTGATCAAGCGAATTTTATTTACAGTAATAGAATAGCAGCAATTCAACAAACGAATGCTAGTTTAGATATCGAGCTCGAAATTTGATATAAATCAGATAAGTAATACAGCATCTTCAGCAAGCGAATAAGTCCCTCAAATAAAGTCACAAATTTAATTTGAAATTTCGTACATTGTAGATATAAGCTTTGTACACCATACGAGTATAATCCAAAGATAAAACAACTGATAACAGGAAACAGCAGTTGATTGTGTTGTTGAAATCCAACAAAAAATGTGTGCTCCCTTTTTACACAAGATGTAGAAACTTGCAAAGAAATTAGAATTTCAAAATTTCCTATTTATTTTTAGAATAATTTTCTTAACAATAAAAATAATTTGGATTTACAATAAATAATACAGTTAAAATACAAGCTTAATTACATTAAAATATGGGTTTTAACAACAATAATCTGTTATTACTCTTAAACAAATTTGAAAATAAGAAAATATGAGTGTCTTGTCAAACAGTAACACTAAAATTTTAAAAAGCAAATCTATTAACTTCTTCTTCTTTTTTTTTGGAATTTAATTTAGATACTTAATTTAGATTTTAACGATTATTAAGCACATACAAAAATCAAAATGTTTTTATCCAGAAAATATCTCAGTAGAGGATGCAAAAAAATTATTTGCATTTTCAAATCTTAACTTTATACTCTTATTTTTTGTATTGTTTACATAGCAAAGAAATTGATGAACACGAAGCATCCTTGGACCCAAATTCAATCCAGGATTACATGGATGGATTCCTTCTTCAGTTAAAGCAGAGAGAATACAGAGAGCCCAACACATCCTTCACAAGTAATGTCAATTTTTATATATATAATCACATTGAATAACATTTAGTTTGTCTATGGAAAGAACTTCCCTGCCCAGAAAGTCTATTGCCGACAGCTACTATGAAAACGAGAAAGAAACACATTTCAAAAAAGGTAGGTTCCCCCCCCCCTGATTTTTCTTCTTTTGCACACCCAAGCAAAAGACCAGTTTCAAATTTTGAACCAACTCCTCTACATGAAATAGTAAAACCTCGTAACTATAGTCACCACCCCTGCTCCAGAGGAATAGCGAGGGTTGTTCTTTCCATAGATAGACTATAATTGATACAATCTGTCTATGAAAAGAGTTCCTCTCATAGTTATCTGGAGCTTCGTCTGTGACTATTGTTGCGAGTTTGAACTATTTCAGGAAGGGATCATTAGGGAAAGATTTTAACAGGGGTCAGCGAGAAGAATATCAAAAGCTCTCCTCTTTGAAATGTGCTCCTTCTTGTTTCCATAGCAACATACAATCTCAGATCTGCTTTCTTAGAGACTTTGCAGAAGTAGAAAACGTGCACTGCCCCTCGCAATGTCTGGCGACGGCCCTGTAGCAATGACATAAATAAAACGTCATTTTTTCTCTTTTTCCTCTTATTTTAAACTGTACAAAGATGGCTAAAAAACAGTTTAAACATGATTTAAAAAAAACAGAAAAATAAATTTTTGGCATGATAATTGAATTACTATTTTTGCCTAGTACTCTGGAACAGGCCTTTGGTAGTAACCTGCTATTTTTTTTAACAGGTATGATTCAATAACAAGTACAAAATACCTGTACCAGAAAATATTAGCCATCTCTTTCTCAGACCCTGTGGCGAGAGGAGTTCTTTTCATATACTGGCTGAATTTGAACGAAATTGGTCAAATAGTTTTCGAAAAGTAAAATTAAAAAACGGGATTTTTTCAAAAGTTTTACAGTTTAAAAATTATTACATAAAAATTTTGTAATTTGACATTTAAATTTGCATAGTTAAAAAACATTTATATCTTACATTTCAAGTAATTTCTTCTTATCACTGAAATATACAATAAAAACTAATAATTAATTATTCGAAACATGAAAACATTATAAACATTATTGAGCTCTTTAATGTATTGTAAACTTTAGTGGCTCAAACTTTCGACAGATCTCTTGACCTATTTAAGTTTTACAACATTAAGCAATTCAGCCTATTTCTATTAAATATTGACCTATTTAAGCTATTTAAAGTTTTAAAACTTGTTATTATATTAATCAAAATAGGAAAATATTGAAAAAATCATTTGGCTCTAAATGTTTTAAAACATGTTTTTATATTTATAAAAACATGAACACATTGTAAATAATTTTGGGCCCGTTAATATATTGTAAACATTAAAGGGACCTATGTGAACTATATTTTTTCGAAATTTTGTCTACCCCTTTCTTACTTTTATCATTAAAAGTCTAATTTCGTCAAAAAAGGTATGTTTACGCATAGAAAATACGTTTTGTGTCTGAATAAATGCTGAAACTATTTTCACTTAATTGATATATTTCTTACTGGCATGTGTAAATAGCTATTTTAAATTTTAAAACATGATTAAAAACTGTACATTTCATATTATCTGTCTTTATAAAGTTTAATTTCATTAGACTTAAATTAAAGTAATGGTACTTTTAAAATCGTCCTTCCGCGACAAAAATTGAAAATATTAGTGGCTTAGAAATAGTAACAATGAGAATCGTCTAATATTAATAATGTCCGTAAAAAATAGCATAAAAATAGACTAAGAAAAGATAATATCGATAAATATTTACTTAACAAGGCATTTTAATCAGTTGTAAAATAAATTGTACTTATTTTCTTGTCTTTAATTAAGAAATGAACCCACATCTTGCAACTCAACGGTTTTGTTTATTTAGTTTTAAAATTAAAAATGAATCCTTTTCGGTGAACATAGTTTTTTTAAGAATCGTATTTTTTTTTGTCCAAAAGAAGTTGAATTTTTTTTTTTGGTTCGTAATTCGTTTATTCTGAACGAGTCCAAATTAATAATCAAGTTTTCAACATCATTGTCGGAGAGTGTTTCTTGTGTTTCTCTCTCCATCTTTTTTTCTTTTATAATTTCCTTTGAAAAGATTTTTCTCTTAATCGAAAATTCCCCCTTGAGGTTGTCAATTTAAGAATGGCAACAACAAAAAATAGAAAAAAATAAAAATAAAAACGCAATAAATTTCTAAAGAAACAAAGGGGAGTAATTACCAAAGGAAGAAGAAATATTGCTAATATGATTTAATTTCGAATGAATGCTTTTTTCCATGTCCAATGCAATTTTTATTTATTTAAAACTATTGTAAAATATTCATTAAATTAGTAATTAATTGTATAATGGCATAATGCGGTAGTTTTTCTCTTAAAAGATTACTTTATTCTTCTTAATTTTATGGAAGACTAGCTGAATACCCATTCTTCATTTGGAGTAAAAAAAAATCGTAAAAAATCAATGATTTGGTTGTTAACTATAACAACGTTAATTTGCTATTGGTGACGGTCTGGGATTCATCCTTAATAATGGATTCCTAGACAATATTAGACATATTACACACTATTACATATACTACATTAGACATGTAGACAATATTAGACTCAACACTACCACAATTTAGATCGGAAAGCAGACGATGATTGTAATCACCCGTTTTTCTCACCGTGCTCCCAGACCATTGCATGTACGTCCACCAGGGATATTTCATTTTATTTTTTAATCGGCGTTGAATAGCCGATTTAATTCTGAGTTTACGAATATTAATGTTAACTCCGTCCTGCCAAAGATGGCCGAGCAGTTAGAGTGCTTGGCTGTGAAGCCAATGGTTGTGAGTTCAAATCCCACTCAGGGTATGGATGTCTCTTTCAGTGTTTTCTGTTGTGTGAAATGTGAAAGTTATCCTCCCTATGGGTGGGTCTGTGGTGTAAGTAATGTTGCTCGTCCTACGTAAGCTAACGTTAAATGAACAATACTTCCGGTATTTTCAATAGAAAAGAACGAGAATTCAGTGCTTGCCATTTAAAAAAAGCGCTCCTCTCCGTATCCTTGTAGTTTTGAACTCAATCCGGAAGACACGGGAATTCCTGGATCAAGCATTGGGACAAGCTAGTCTTAGTGGAAGACTTTTTAGTGAAACTAATCCGCATTTGCCCTACATGGAGAGGAAAAATCACAAATCTCCCACGATTATCCTAACAGCAAGAGGATTCTACCCCATGATCCATCTACCCATGAGGATATTATGTGTCAGCACTGCAAAGCCGGGAGCAGAATTCGTATCAACCAGCAAAAGCTGGGATTTGAACCGGGGACCCAGCGTAAATGGATTCCGAGCCACTAAGATACGATCGAAGAAAAGTGCAGTATTTTCATTCACCAAGCTACAGGGAATCGAACCTCGGTCTTAGCGGTGGAAAGCGAAGACAAAAATAACCACACTAAATGCTCGAACTGTGACGCTTATAAGCGTCATCTTAAATCAATATGCATCGTGTGTAAAATTTATCAGCATATTTGTTAAGAAATTTTGTTAATTAGATGGTTAATCGTTTTATAAAATACAATTGGTACTACTTGATTGTTAAAATATGCTAACAGTTTTGACAAATAAACTTTTTCATGACGCCTGCAGTCAGAAGAAATGTTGTGTTTTAAAATTAATACGACAGTGTTCAGATTGTTTTTTTATACTAACTATATGTTGTAAAATATGAGAGCCTCTAAAATAATAAAATGTATTCATAAATAGTGAGTGTTAAAAAAACTTTGCCAACATACGAGCCCTTCGTGAGAGTAACGTTCAAATAATAATAATAAAATTCTGTTTAAATGCATTATAAGGTATGCGTTCAGGAATGATATTAAGCAATTTTCTTAACATGCCCCAGGCCAGCGGTCTATACGCATACGCATAGAAACCCATCGCCAAGACAACAGCAGCACGAGGACACCGAGCATTTTGAACTTGTGGACAAGGTTCCGAGTCGTGATCGAATTTGAACCTGCACATTGTAGATGGCCGATACATTTTGGGTCGGCAGCAGAAGGACAGCACTAACATCCCGACCCACAGGATCTTCTCTACTGGATGGAAGCTTACATTCAGTCCCAATAGTCTGTCTATGTAAAGAGCTCCCCTCGTCATTCATCGAGAGCAGTGGCGGTGACTATGATTATGGCTATGAGATTTACCCATTTCAAGTAGGGATGCTCAATCAATATTTTAACAAGAGAAAGGGTATAATTTGTCTTCGGTCATTTGCGAGCTCCCCTCATTGAAACGAGCAGTTTATATAGCAGAGAGCGGCTTAACATTTTGTGGCAAAAGGAGTTCCTTTTACATAAAGACGGAAAACACCAGAACTTATATTGAAAACCATTGATACAAAATCACAATCATAAAATGCTTCGAAATTTACACAATAATAATAATAATAAATGCATAAATAAAATACAGTTGAAAGCAGTTCAAACATGCTTTGACGGATGATTAGCGAAAAATTGGTGGCTCCTTCAACGAGGCAGAACTTGATTAGGATTAGACAATCTTAGATCTAATTCAACAGATCGTTTAAAGCACTTACTGCTTTAACTCAAAACAAATTGCTTAGTTCGTAATCCAAGTCCCAATCGGTGATTGGCGTTTATTCACCAATCACCGATTGCTAAATATATAGTATAAAATTTGATTGTCGATCCCTAACGGTTAAAAGGTACATATGATCACCACGGTCATATGTACTCTTTCACCCTTAAGAAATTTTATTTTGCACTTTGGTTTTATTGCTCTTATGTCCTCTGGTTGATTGAGAACACCAAAGAATTCAAAAATAGTATTAAAGACCATTCATTCAGCTTTCACAGTTATAGTTTCATTGACGTTATTTGGAATTTTTCATAAGATAAAATCCCCTTTTTTATCCTAGTGGTGAAAAAAAACTTTCAATTAATTTGGAATGATACTTTTTGTAGGGCAAACAGCTGCACTGGGCAGAAACTAAGAAATGTATTGTATCTGGCTTTTGAAAAGTCCGTGATTTAGCTTATTTTATATCCGTCGTTGAACAGCCGACCCAATTTTGGGTTTAAGACTACTAATGTTCAACTCCGTAGCCTTGAAATTTTGAACCAATCCAGAAGACAAGGAAACTCCTGGATCAGTACCCCCAGAGGTATTGATTTGTTATGGTAACATAGAGGACTTTGCGACTTGACAGATTTAGCGTGCATCAGTCACCATTTACCGACCTGGTCTACCTGGCATCAAACTCCTGAACCTTTGGACATGGGCCCAGTGCCCTACCAACCAGGCTATCTCGGCCCATGTGATTTAGCTTAGAAGAATTCGCTCTGTAATTAACGGGTAAAAGCGCAGTGATTTGTATGTATCATTTCAAAATATTTTTTTCAAACTCTACTTTAATTTCATACTTCAATGACGAAAAAAAGGTATGGTCTTTTGAATATTTCTAAATTTTGTTATTGCTACGTTAATGATTTAAAAAATGCAATTAAAGCTTGAAAACATGCCACAATAAATTTTGAATTTTTTTGATAAACAAGCGTTTTCTAATTTTGAATTAAATAAATTATGATACGCTTTGCGTAAAGTATTCAGATCATCAAGAAAACTAATAAAGCGTTTTTCAAAATGAAATTTTGAATTCAATAGAATATGAGATTTAGAATGAATCGCATTGCCATTAAGATTTCGCTTATATCTTGCCTGACTGGGTCATTTGAATCATATAAGTTATTATAAACGTCATTAATCAACTGCTGTCAACGAAGTTTAAATGAATATTTCATATATCATTTTTCCAGCAAAGCGGTTTTTTATTTGACAAAGATTTAAATAGCTTTTTAGAGCACGGACGAAATTAGAAATATATTGAAAAGGGACATTCAAAAATTGCTTTTCTTTCCTTCGTTAAAATCTTACTAGCTTTGAATAACTTAACGTAAAAAAATTATATTTTAAAAATTTATTCGCGTGTGTTGGTTTTACTATATTCTTGTTTGTGATTTGTTCGAGTTAACATGTCTTATATACTAGTGAATTGGAATTATATTTTTGTAGTGGTAGATACACTACACGTGTAAATTTGTATTTTTGCTTTTATTTTCTTAATTTACTGCCATTTCACGGAGATTATATTTAAAAAAAATGTGCATAGTCTTTGCCTATATGTAGCTATATATTAATTCAAATTATAGTTTCAAGATTAATTTTATTTTATTTTCATATTTAAATGATATTCAGGGTGTTCGCTGTAAAAAACTTCTTGGAAAAAAGGATTAAATAATTAGGATTCGGAATTAAAGGATAATAATTAGGAATTAAAGGGTTATAATTAGGAATTAAAGTATTTTTAATTGCTTTTTTGCCATATTCGAACAAAACAGTCAAGAAACAATAAATAAGATTGTATTCAAACTGTTAACTGTCAGAAGACCGTTTATTAACTGCTTAGACCCAATAGGATTAAACAACCAAAAGTTTATCACACCAGTTAAGCTCTCCTATAGAAGTCACTTAGTTTCTGGAAGTATATATTATAGCTGAGAGAGTTAATGTGCCAATCGCATGACCGAGAAAACGGAGGTTTGAGTCCCAGCTATGACATCACAATATTTCCTCTGTTCCCTTGAAATCACAAAAAGTTTCCAATGTCCTACACTCTCCAATTTGTGACTCTGGACTATTAGATAACGATACTTACATCCACCCATAGATGGAAGCATCATAAAACTGCTTAGTATTAAAAAGTCTAGTATTTCCAATCTCTGACGATAGGTAAAACAACCAGATGAACTAAGTAAATCACATTCCACGATTCATTTGATAAAACCCAACTCAACCACTACCTAACTCGAATGCCTAGTACCTATAAACTACATATTGGAGCCTAACTCCAATATCTAGTTAAATTTCTTTTTCTTCTGTTTTAAAACCATGCTAGCTATAAATGGTTAAAAAACACTCAGAGCTTTTTTTAATAATTTTTTAATCATACTAGTTAAAAACGGCTTAAAAACCGTAAATTTAAAAAAAATCGTTTCCGTAAACACAACAGTCTAAACACCCCTAGCAGTGTATTATGTTTAAGGAAAATACACCATCAATATACACCGAAGAAACATTACATTTTGACCACCCTCCATCTATAAAAATGGGCTCGCCCAGGCTTTCACGGTTTCTCGCACAGGAACAATGTTTTCATGGGGAAAATTAGGACCCATAATCCTCATAGAACAATCCCTGACGTCTGTAAGCTACTTGAACATAGTTGCAGACCAGGCTCATCCATTCATGGCAACAGTTTTTCCTGCGGGGGATGGTGTTTACCAACATTGTTCCATATCATAAGGGTCGAATCGTCGAGGAACATTCCAGTGACTTTCAAGTCATGTCTTGGCCCCCAAATTCACCTGATCTTAATCCAATAGAGTATTTGCGGTCCTACTTGGAAAACCAAACTCGTACTGCCATGCTACCTCCTCACAATGTGAGGAAATTGCAGGACCAGTTGGTGAGCGCTTGGTACCAGATACTTCAGACTACCTATCAGCTTTTTGTGGAATCAATGCCACAGTTTTGAGGGCTAAAGGTGGTCCTACATGTTATTAGCCGGGTGGTCATAATGTAATGGCTCTTCGGTGTATAAGCACAGCTGTATATTTATATAGATATTGAATTTGCTATTTTCATTTTCATTCATTAATGGTAATTTATAGGAGCTATGTTGAAAGGAAACGCGCCATCTTTGATTGGTGCAGGCAGCACGACTGTAAGGGCGACTGTAGAGTGGACTCTATTGACTATGGCTGCGTACCAAGACGTACAAAAACGAATTCAAGCCGAAATAGATGAAGTCGTGGGTCGAGAGAGAATGCCATGCTGGGCTGATAATACACAACTAATCTACACACAGGCTGTACTCATGGAAGTACAGCGATGGAAAACTGTTGTACCCATCAACCTACTCAGATAGTAAGTTTATATTTGAACAGTTCATGTGATCAAGCTTAAGAGGGCTTTTTTCTAAACTCTTTGAATAGTCTCTTTGAAACTTCAAGCTCCTTAATTTGCTAAATAGATAAAAGTTATAGTTAAAAAATTATTAATTTAAATAAAAATATAAAAAAAATTCCGCGCGAAGAAGGTTATCGAAAAAATGTCTTATACTGATAATTTAAAAAGAAACTGGATTAGTTAACACAAAGAGATAAAACTGTCCACCCTCAAAAATTTGTAATAATTCAATTGCTAAGAGCAAGACTGATTATATAATTTTTTTGTTTTCAGATTAAGTTATAATTTGCTTTACTATGTAAAGATTTAAGAATAAAAACTACTGATGCTTAGAAATTTCAAATTTAAAAAATTATTGAACTATTGTACTATTCAGGTATTTCATTTTAGTCATGAATCTCTTATTTTGCAATAGTTAATGCTAAAAATAAATAGTTTTTTTAATATAATAATTTTACAATACAAATATAATGTATACAAATACAATAATACAATAAATACAATAGTTTTCTAGTTTCAATAGTTTACGTAAATTTATTAAATATTTTTTTTCAATATTTGCAATATTTTTTAACAATTAGCATTCGTATGCTTGCGCTTTTGCTAAAATGCACATTTGAAAATTTTATTTCTTTTAAAATGAGCTTCAATATACAGTTGTTGTATTACACATTTTAAAAAGTGAACAATTTACACAAAATAAGCAAGTCTTTATGTATATATATAATTTTTCTGAAATGAACAGCGACTTAACTTAAACTCATACAAATATTGCAAAATCATCAAATCCAAATGCCCTTCTCTTGGCCGCTATCCTAAACTTAACAAACTAATGAATGATTGATGAAGGGTTCTTAAGCAATGAGTCAGGAGGTTGAGAGTTAAAGAAATTAATGACACTCTGACAGATAAAGAGAGATCTTTAGATTATGGGGATAAACTTTTAATTACTTTTGTCATTATAGCTCCATTTCACAATATTACAAATAGTTCCATTCCTTGCATTCACTTACACACTCATAGATAGAGTAGTGGTTGTATGATTGTATTGTTCTGTTGTTTTTTAAATAAAAAATAGTTTAACAATACAATGCCGAAAATATTTGACACATTTTAAATGTATACTATGAAGTCATTTAAGATGACCACCTCCGTAAGTTTATCACCTGTCTAAGTTGATTTCAGTGATTCAAAATACCGAAGTGGCAAAAACAAATTTCCCATCTATAAGTAGACGGCTTGCTTATGTAAGTCATAAAATTGTGGTTGGACAAGTGGTCAACTTACAAAGGTGTCACTGCATTTTTAACATTTCTAATATTAAGGATTTGATTTGTATATAAGTGGTTAACGTTCGTAGGTTTCACAGTATTATTTACATTTCTTTACATTTTGGTATTTAGGACCCCTTATTGGACAAGGAATTTTATTCGACGCAGGGTTGATTTCAAATTTTTTTAATTATACAGAAAATTAAAGCAAAGAAATATTCATTATTGTTATTTACTTTTGTTTTCCGAAATAGAATTCGACTCAAGTTCAGCTAATGCAGCACGAAATTTCGTTCTTTTGCTAAACATCTCATTTGTAATTATAGATGCAGTGAAGCTGTTAAGTTGACCACCTCTGTATGTTTGTCACCTGATTAGGTCAATTTAAATCAACCAAACCAAATTGGCAAAAACATTTAAATTTTCTCTTCATGAGTTGCTTACCTATTTAAGTAGACCATTAAAATGTAGCGCCACATGTTGTCAACTTACGCAAGTTTAATCGAATTCGCTAAATATTTACACAAACCTATTACTGTATACCTCTGACTATAACTGTATACCTCTGGCTGTAACTTTTTTGGTCCGTACAGAAACTTGTGTAAGTTGCGCTTTCTTGGAATTATAATTAAGTGCGTTATTTCAACAAGTGATTAATTTATTAAATAGGGAATTTAATTATTTTTGAAAATTTAGTTCGTTATCAATAGGATCTACATAGACAGGTGGTAAACTTGCTGAAGTATTTAACTTACAGATTTCACTGTACACTGTATCTGATAGATAGATATAACGTCCCACATGTTATACATATCACAATTTTTACGGTCCCTAATGTATTAATACACGGAGAAAATTATTTTACTGTATGGCAATGACGTTTCTGGTTAAGGAAAAAAACACATAATTCTAGCTTATAAAGTCAAAATATATGATATTTTTCAATTCATTTGGTAAAATTTCCGTTCATATTCCGTTTTTTTCGGATATTCTGGTTTTCAAAATTATAGTTTTTAGAGCCAAGCAATTTGTAAAATATGCAGAACTGAAAACTAAATTGAACCGAATAAATGGTCAGTTTTTAAGCAATGCTCTAAAGTATCACGATTATATTACCAAATTTTACCTCAATTAATAAATTTCATCCCATATTATAAAAAACATCTTACTGTTAATTTTAACCCAAATCATAACCAAAGCGCTTCAGTAAAAATTGAGCTTTTTAGTATAGTCATAGGACCAGAAACATGGTAAATTTTACCATATTCCGGAGGTTTTGACCACACTTTTTTTCTCAGTATACTTTTGACCTTTTTTGATGAAAATCTTAAATTAGTTTAAAAAACTTTGATTACGAATCACCCTCGTATAGGAGGAATAGTACTTTTAGTCTTATACCAAATAGTTGAATTTCATTTTTTCATTGCTTTGCGGAACCTAATTTTGTTCTTTGAAAGATTCGAAAAGGCAATGAAATAGGGAAAAGGAAGAAAGAACGAGGAATATATTGATTAGAAGACTCACAGTGAGATTTCATCGTTACTCTTAGATATATATCAAAAAGTTTGGGATGATATAACCCACGCCATCTAGGAGGAATTTTTAGAAGCAAGAGATTGAATGTGTATTCCTTATTTGAAACAAAACCATAGTGTTTTTGACACTTGAAAATAAATTGGTCTTTTTGACATAAATCAAATTTTGTCTGACTAATTATTCTGTATAACTTCTTATCAAAAGTTTCTATCTGTTATACTGTATCAAAAAGTACATGTATTTACAATATTTTAAATTATTTAATTTCTAATATTAGGTATATATATATCAATGTTTTTGCAATCTATATTGATGTTACTTATCAAAAATCAATAATTTAAGAAATATGAAATTATTTTGGTGAATGACTTATTTTTCGTTAATGCAAAATTTATAAATTTTATGCTTTTGATGTCTTGAGTGACAAGTGATCTAAAAAGATTTAATTCAGACGATGAAATTCACATTTTTAACAAAGTGTTTAATTACTGATATCAAACAAAAACATCTTTTTCGTCGCTTATAATTAATTTGTTCACTAAATAACAGACAATATCTTTTGTCACGATTTAGCACAATCAAAAGCCGGTTGAATTTTCACTCAGGTGTAAAAATTTTTTTTTTAAAAATTCCATTACTGTTGCTTTAAAATAATTTTGTTTTATCGAAACATATTCCAGAAAGGCATACGCAAACAAAATGAACAATGACTTCAGATAGTTTTCAAAATGCTAATTCAGTAACACCACCATCCCCATAAGATTCGCGTTGATTTCACGTCTGCTTACGTGACGTAAGAAACTAAAGTAAGTTAAAATGATTATTATGCGATTTTCAAAAAATTTTCAGGGAAACTCTTTTTTGATTGAAAGGGATATAAGACTTCAAATACCATTAATTTAATCTTTTAAATAATTGAAAGACAAGTTCAGCAGTTTCAATTATTCATAATGTTAATTCGTCTAAAAGAATTCGTTTTTCACTCGAATCTCCCAATCAGAAAAATTAAAAACTTTTAATGATTTTTAGGATTGGAGACTAAAATTATCGTTTGCACTCGCTATGAGAATTTGTATTTGATCTTAGCACTAACGGTACTGAAGTTATAAGAGTATCTTTACATAAACTTTTAAGTAAAGATACTCGTATAACTTTTTTCTTTTCTTTTTTCATTTTTTTTGCATCGATACATAAACTTTTTCTTTTGTTATTATAGAATTTCTCGATCCTAGCATTGACGGTATTGAAGTTATAAGACATATTACATCAATAAAATAATTCATAACATTGTTCTATTTCTAAAATAATTGCTTTAAGAAATATTAAATCATAATGCATTTTTCGTTGCTACACTTAGAAAAAATTATGGTCAAAACTATAAGAATATGGTAATATTTACCGTGCTTCTGACTCTATGGGAACACCAAAAAGCTTGGCAATTTCTTCCGAATTGCTTTGGTAATGATTTTGGTCAAATTGAAAATAAAATATTTTTTATATATGAATTTAGTAATTTTTTATGTAATACCTTAGAGCATGATATTAAAACCATTTTTTCGGTTGAATTTACTTTCTAGGTTTGTATTTTATTCTAAATAAGTGGTAATAAGAACTATAGTTTTGAAAACTAGAATTTCTAGTATACCGTTACCGTATGAACGGAAAAATTATCAATAAATGATTAAAATATCTTATATTTTGGTTTTATTAACGGGAATTACGGTTTTTTTTTATCAGAAATGTCATTACTATACAGTACGGTAATTTTACCGGAATTGTTTCTTCGTGTAATAGCTATCTTTATATCTTTATTTTATTTTTTTTTTTTGATATTTTAATAGTTAATATTTGTAAATTAACAAACTAGATTTTGCCTCTAACAAATGAATTTTTACTGCAAAATTAAACAGTGATGTTTAAAATCTGCAGAAAGATTTGTGGGCCTATTTTGCGTGGTATTAGCGGGAATTGCTTACTACATTAAGCAATAATAAGACTTTCTGTATAGTTCAATTTGCAGCAAATGAAAACACTGATATTGCCTTTAGGTTATAGCAATTTTTTAAATTCTTTTCTTTGTTTCCTTTTTTTTTACTATTATAGTGAATGAATTTAAATTATTTTTAAATTTTATAAATTTTAAATTATCAGGTCTCTAATAAATTACTTAGGTGATTTTTCTTAATTTTTTTTTAATGTAGGAACAAAAAGAGCTGCATTAGAGAAATTTGAAATTGAATAAAGAAGTACAAACAAAAGAATAAATCAATTGCGTCTCTTTACTTTATCAATAACTTTTTTTCTCTCCAACAAATAAATTCGTTCTGTAAAAAAATTTACTAAAAAAAATCTTCATCTTTTTTAAGATTTTTTTTTCCTTCTCCACTTTTAAGAAGCCTAATTTGATTTTATTTTTTATTAACTGCGAATGGATTTACAATCAATCCTCGAAAAAAAAACTGGCTCTGATAATTCGGAATTTGAAAACTAAAAAAGTTACACTGTAGCAATAAAGTATTATTCCCCATAAAAAGTAGTCTAATTTGTTGTAGCATCTTTTCATGTTTATTAACAAACAGAGTCCTTTTGATTGAAAGCTTAGTCTGTGGTGTGGTAATGCTTAATTACATTATTTTAATCTAAATATGTAAGTGTTAGAAAGGAAGTATTGCATAAAACTATTCCTTATGCAAACTTTTACAAATTGACATTTTTTTAAAAATATATAACCGTCATTGAACAGTCAACCCAATTTTATTCGTTTACGACTACTTATGTTCAACTCCGTAGCCTTGTAATTTTGAACCCAATCCAGAAGACAAGGGAACTCATGGATCTGGTATTGGAAGAAATTGGCCCCCGTGGAGGACTTTTTGATGAAGCTAGTCCGCATTTGAGTTACATAGTGAGGAAGATTACGATAACCGCCCACGGTTAGCTTGACGGCAAGGGGACTCTAACCCATGATCCGTCTACCACTGAGGATATTTCACGTCAGAACTGCTGTCGGTGCAAACCGGATGCGGAATTCGTATCGACTGGGATTCGAACCCGGTTCACCGTATTGGAATCCTGAGCCATCACGGCTCAAACTGACATTTTGAAAATATCGATAATAATGTAATATTTAAGAGATGAGAAACTAAAAATAATCATATTTAGACGTCAGTTTCAAAGATACTCAATGCCCGTTTTCCGCATGGAGGAAAACCAATTTATCAATAAATAAACAAAACAATATGAAATCATTCCCGAAAGTGAAAGGCATATGTAGATCAAATCAAAGAATTTTTGACAATATAATTCCATATTTTTTATTTATAATAATTTTTGAACTTCCCGATGCCATTCTGTTATCAAAACGAGCAAAACGCATATTTAGAAGTTTTCCATCAAAATAAAGATTATCTAGGTTCATCACCATTTGGCATGATGCTATTGCTTAAAACCAAACTCAAGATAATTCAACTTTACCACAATCAAGTAATTTTTTCTGGTACTTATTCCTTTCGAGAGCCTATAAGAAACGTATTATAAGAGTGAGTTATAAGAGTATAAGCTCGATATAATATGAGTTATAAGAGAAACACAACACGCAAAGTCTTCATTTTATAATTATAGATTAACGAATTGTTGAAAAAGATTAAACACTAACCTGAAATCGATATTTTTTATATTTTCATGGATGAAAAATAAATAATTTCGCAAAATATGTATGTAATAAAACTGAATAATTTATTTACAGTACAACTGAGGATGCAGTAGTCGGTGGATATGATGTTCCTGAAGGTATGACAGTAATTGCCAATCTAAATGCCGTACACAATGACCCGGAGTATTGGGATGAACCTCATAAATTCAAGTCAGAACGTTTTCTCACAGATGATGGCAAAGAGCTGGTTAAGCATGAATCTTGGATTCCCTTCACCCTGGGTTCGAACGCATAATTTTTACATAATTATTTGCATATAATAAAAATACGAAAGCAGTATTTACCTACACTTTAACACTAGGAGAGGCAACTGTTGTAAATGGAAAAAAAAGAGAACATAATATTTTCATATACTTTAACAATAGGAGACAGCAATCATAAATGAAGAATAAAAATATTAATGCAGAATTTACTTATAGTTTAATCTTAGATTGGAAAATAAAAATATGAATGCTGTGTTTACTTAAACTTTAACACTAATCACAATAGCTGACAATGGAAAACAAGAATATAAGTGCAGTTTTTACTTATGCTATAATGCTAGGAGACAACTGCAGTTAATGGAGAATATAAGAATGAACACTTAGTTTACCTATACTTTAATGCTTAGAGACAACTGCTTAAAATGGAAAATAAGGTTGCAAATGTAGTGTTTATTCTTTAGCACGAGGAGACAATGGCTATAATTAGACAATATAAAATATGAATGCAGAGTTAATCTATACTAAGTTAATAACCAATATTAGAGATAACTGCGTTAATATAAAAAATAGCTATACTAATATAAGAGATAACAGCTGTAAACTTAAAATAAAGATAGTGATAGCTCATTAATTTTTAAGTAAATGATTTCCATAGAAATCATTTCAATTTTCTATAGGAACATCAAACTGACTCATTTTTAAACAAATTCTAAGAAGTTTAATGCTGAATGAAATAACAGTCTTCTTTTTAACTAACTACAAAAAAAGCTTGATTTTTTCAAGCAAAATGCTGCATTCCATATCTATCAAAAAAATTCAATTTTTTTTTATTTTAACAAATAAGGCAAATAATGTCAAATCTTACATTTTTGCGAAGAATTCCTTAAAAACTGAGTTCTATGCACATGATTAATATTTTCTTAGATAATCAGAGTAGTGATAAAGTTTTATGCTTCAGCTTTCTGGAAGAGAGGAAAAGTTATAAATATTAAAATATTGTATCAAATGAGCTTAAATAAAATAATTGATTTATAACTCAAACTAAATCAATGGAACTTCAAAATTATATACAACTGTCCTTTTCGATGACTTGTTAAACGGAAGTAAAAGAGCTATCTTTTAAATTAAATCATTTGCATATTTGTCAACTGAAATTGAATAAATTCTTGAAGACTGACTAATTTCCAGTATACTGATTATGAATTTGACTGCTTTCCAGAAACTAAAAACTAAGCGAAAGATGATTTATTAAATAAAATATCAGCCTATTCTTTTTTTTAGTATGATTTGGATTAGAAACGCTTTATTTTTCGAAGTAAAGCAATTATAATACCACTTTACTTCTTTTTTTTTATTTGTACAAGAAATATTAAAATCTTTATTCTCCTGTCAAATTCCTTAAGAATTGCATCTTAAACATTATCTTAATGTGTTTTCTATAATCCAAGTAACGATAAAACTTTATGCCTCAAATTTCCAGAAGGGATAAAAGTAATGAACATTAAAATGCTGTATCAAATGAGTTAGAATAAAACGATTAATTTAGAATAAAACAATTAATTGAGAATTAAAATCAATTAAATAGAACTCCAAAATTATACACATAGTATTTAAAAAAATTCCAGATTAAAAATGCGGTATAAAGTACCCGCACTTTGGATGTATCATCTGTAACATCCTTTTTACCGTGAAATCCATTTTTCACCGTAAAATCCATTTTTACCTTAAATGATTATACCATACTTTAAGTAATATTGACTTAATTCGAGTGAGTGGTTTTATGGTAGTTATTATTGTAAAAATTGCGGCATATCTGATTTTTTACTCCGTAGCATGTTCGGATAAAAATGGATTTTACGGTAAAAAGTTCAGGCACCTTAAGTGCCGGTACTTTTTAACTTCATTTGATCCGGAATTTTTAACGGTGCAACTAATCTATGAGATGACTTGTTAAATGGAGAAAAAACAACCTCACAAATTAAAAAATTTGCATATTTGTTAAAGGAAGTTGAATAAATTCTTAAACAATGACCATTTTCCGATTTCTATATTCTTCTGTCAAATTCTGGAATTGACTATTTTCCGAAAACATCTTCTGTAAATCTAAACGAAGGTGATTTATTAAATAAAATATCAACCTCTTTTCTTAGTATGTTACGACGAAAGAAGCTTTATCGCTCAAAGCAAAACATCACATTTATAGTACCATTTTCAATCTTTTTTCCTTATCCGACAAAAAATATCAAAAAATCTATATTCTTCTGTCAAATTCTTTAAGAATAGCATTCTATGCATTATCTTAACGTTTTCTTCGACAATCCGAGTAACGATAAAGGTTTATGCCTCAAATTTCTGGGAGGGAGGAAAAGTCATAAATATTAAAATATTGTATCACAATGAATCAGAAGGCATTTTTCTCTTGACAGTTTGAATCTTTTATGACGGAAACTTCGAAGAAACCGCCCCCAATTCCATATAAATCGTTTTCAGTTTTGAAACTGAAAACGATAAATGAAAGGCGAAGCACTTGCCATCGTTGTATTCAAAACTGTATCAATTCATTTCTGTTTGATACCAGTGGCGTGGAGTATTACTTTGCTACGAATAGTGTAATATTTTTTATCCTCTTGTCTGACGAAACTGTCATTTAGTAAGCTATTTTCCATAAAAGGCTCTTTTGTGTAATGTCCTTTTATTTTATTTTATTTATTTTTTGTTTAAAAGGTGATTTATTCTAAATTTCTTTTCAAAATAAATATTTTCCGTTTTGTAAATTGAGTTATTATTGGATAAACATCTAAGCTCATTTATGTATGATTTCTCCTATTGTGTGTTTGAAAACAATGTATTTGCACCGTTTTTTTTTTTTTTTTTTTTTTTTTTTTTTTTTTTTTTTATGCACTAAATTTTCTTGCGTGTGATATAAAGTTAGCTTGTTTCCTTACACAAAATGTTGCTGCATAACTTTGTTTTATTGGTTACTTAATTAAAGTTTGTTAAGTGACCATTTAAAAAATGATCAAAAAGTTCTTTTTTTAGCTTTCTAAAAATAAAATTATGCGATTTAACTGCCCAATAAAGAGAATATACGAACTGATTATCACTTTCATCTGAACTTTATGTATATAGAAGTTAAAGGGATTGAAGGGGATTTAAAAATATGTTTTGAAGTACAAGTATATATAAACTTATAAATATTGCAATTTCAAAAATTCTTAATATATTTTAATTTTATCTCTAGGTAAACGAGCTTGTCCGGGAGAAACATTGGCAAACGTAGAAGTCTTCCTCTATGCGACAAACATTCTCCATAAATTTCACATTAAATTTCCGGAAGGAAAGCGGCACAATTTCCAAGGAAGAGTTGGAGCGACATTCGAGCCTTTACCGTACGAACTTTGCATGATTCCAAGAATATAGTTGAGCAGTTAAATTGATATTCAGAATACTTTTTGTAAAAAATCTCTCGCTTCTAATGTTTCATACCATTTATATTCCTCCATTTTAGCAGTTGGCGTTTGAGCTTAATACTTGTTTTTATTTCCTTTTTTTCTACTTTTTCTAGTTTTGTTTTCATCTAAAATTCATTTTCAAGAAACCATTATGCACATGTATGTTAATGAACTTTTCCATGTTTTTCTTAACAAATAAAAAAGTCTTTGTACGTTGCTTATGTATTTAATATTTTAATACAGGGTTTAAATTTTGAAATTTTTCTTCAAGCTCATGAATCTTAAGAGAAAGTTCTTGTTAATAGTCTTAATTAAGGAAAAGAAAATATAATCACTCCCACAGCAGCTAGTAGTCGACCAAGGGTATTATAAAGGTTAAAACTCCCCAATTTAATGACCAACAGCTTGCTCTTGGAAATGTGGTCAGTATTGCGTACCGATCACTCGTTCCTCCTTGATTAGCTGAAATCTGTCCAGTTTGGTAACCTCATATTATTACTGGGAATTGAACCCCTGTCTTTCAAAGTGAGAGCCTAGTACCTTAACCACTATGTCATCTTGCCCAAGATCGTTATTTTGCTTCAACTAAAACATTAAATTTCGAACTAGAATGCTTGTAAAATGAAAATTATGGTAATAAATGTTAGTAAAACTGTAAATGTACATAGTCCTTAATGGAGGATTAACAATATAGTTTAGTAATTAGCATATGATCTAAAGTTTAACAAAGCATAAATGCAGCAATACAAAAGTTTAAGATTCAATAACAAGATGAAACAAATGATAGAGTTGATGCTTCGAGTACCAGGTTACTTATTAACATTTCTTATTGATTATGAATATTATATTTTAAGTTTTTATTAAAACTTTAGGAGTCAATAAAAAGATGGAAAATAAATACATGCGGAGAAGTTTTAATTCCCCGGTTACAATTTATTTCTTATTAACCACGAAGATTGTATTTTTACCACATTTCAAATATTTTTAATAAATATCTGTTTTTTTTTTTGTGTGGCTAATTCAATAACTTTTCTGTAAGTAAGTAAAACTTAATTCAATAATTAAACTTATGAAAGAAAAAATACTATTTACTGTCTTGTAAGGAGACTATTGTTTCAAAATATTTGTACTATACCTGTAATTAAGTGATCCAATAATTTTAAATACTTCATTTTAAAAAGTGTTCAACATTTTCTGAAATAATAAAAAATTGTTTTTTAATTATTGTTTGAAGAGTAATTTGACATTCTCCTCCATTACACTTCCGAAGATTCTAAAAATTAATTAATCAACATCTTGTCTATAATTAATTAAACATTCATTTTCTCCCAGGGACATGTTTTTAGTGAGATCACATCAAAATGTCGGATAAAACTTTTGATAAATTAGTACCACCACACCAACATCTGCTTGATCGAAAACCACCGTCTAGCCACAATCTTAAGTTATAAAGTTTCCTTCGAAATTTGTGCAACCTAAACTTTAAACTTGATAAGATAAAATTAGCAATTTAAACTCATGAAAGACTATGATTAGGAGTTGCACAACTAACTAGAATTTAATGGAAAATGTTAACAACTTCAGACTATGATAAATTACATTAATTCAGACAAAAAGGAAAAATTATGGTAATAAATTAATATTAACTTCTTATATAGGAAAGCTCTTTTTAACACATGTAATAATAAAACTGAAAATTATTTCTATTTTTATGCTTCATTGAAAATTAAAATTTTCTGTTTTGTTTTATAATTCTTATTTTGTATGATATTAACTAATTACTTTCGTAGTTTATAAATTGCAATTTACCTATACAAATTTGAGTTATCCGTTGAGCTCTTTTTTTATTAACTATGTTTTTCATGTTTAATGTCGAGAAATTAATAAAACTATAATCGTATTTATCTTGCGTTTGTTGAAGCATAAAAATTATTTAGTATTTGTCTGAAACAAATGATAAATGTAAATTGAAATGCTAGGCAGTAGAAAACACTTTAAGATTTTCTTTAATATTTTTAAAATACCTTGAAGTAAAACCTAATTTTGGAAGATTTTTAAAGCCTTTTGCATCAATATTTAAATATTTGAATTAAGTGAGAAATATATATTTTTATGAATACAAGTAAATTATCGAAAAATAAGAAGCTTGTGATACTGTGTCATTGTTTTAATTTTTTTCTTATAAATTCAATCCGTTTCATATTTTGAAATTTACAGTAATACATATTAAACTGTACGGTGCATACTGAATTGTATAATAAATAAATATTACATTATAAATAAAGAAAGAAATAATAAATTACAAGAAGCACGTTTTGCCAAAAATACGTAATTTTACGAAAAGTTAACATAATTTCTTAAAATTTTATAATAATAAAGGATTGAACATCGAATGTAATAAATTATTTCTCATATTGTAGTTTTGAATACCTTTTATGTTTTTTAATAGCTTTTATGTTATTTTAAATGCAAATTTGCTTAGTATTCATTATAAAAATTAGTTTTGTTATGAATGAGAGAAAAATGACCTGAACAAAGCTGCCAATTCACTCGAATTAATTTGAAAAGTACCAAATAGATCAATTTTTGTCTACAATTGGTACTCTCTAATTAGTAATAAAATTACTCTAATTAGCATTATAATTTGTCATATATGTCCTATTTTCGTAATAAAAACCTAAACAGATTAATAAATTTTATCAAAATATTACTATTGTATTGGATTAGTTTAAAAACTTATGCGTTGAAAATATAAAGCATTGATGATTTATGAAAATTACTGACTTTAGGACTTCATTCTTCTTTTTTAAAGTTAGAAGTTAGAAGAAGTTAGTTTCTGAGTGTTTTGGCAACATTCAAATATTAGAAGCAATGAAATGATTCTCATGTGCTAATAAATAGTGAATGTATGTAGTTATTATTTTCAAAAGGATGAAAATGCAATACACAAATTTGAAATGATTTTAAGCAATAAAAAATTATATGACTAGAACTTAAATTTTTTTCAATTAAAAAGTGAAAGCTAAGATCAATTTTGTTCTAAAAATATTAAAAATTGAAGCTTATCTGTATAAGAAAAAAAACATTTTTTACTGATTTACAAATTTAACAAAAAATGTGTTACAAATCTTTTATAAAGGTGTAGTTTTTTATGTTATATAAAATTTCACAAAGCTAAGTTAAATTCATATTAAAAAAAATAATATTTGTTTAGAAATTGAATATAAAAAGTTACTAAATTAAACAATCGAAACTTAGGAATTGATAATTCATGTTAAAAAAATAAATTGCGTTTCATAAAGAAATACATAATTTGTTAATAATTATGTTTCTCTCTTAAATTATGAGTTTGCTAAATAATCCTCTGGAAACAAAGTAGTGTTTGCATACAAAAGATTTATCTACAAATTGCAATCATTATATATAATTCTTTTTAGTATCACCCTTTATTTTTTCAAGAATTCATGAAAACATCCAAAAACAGGCGTTACAAAGTAGTTATTCACTAAATTTTCTAAAATGTACACTTTAATGCATTCTAAAAGAATGTAATACAAAATTGGAATTCAAAAATAAAATTAGCATTGTCCAGTTTATACAATCCAGCAAAATAAAATAAAAAAAATAGTTTCACTGATCATAAAGATAGTTTTTAGGAAATATAGCGTTTTTATTAACTCGCTTTTAGTGTAGCAGGACGGGAGTTTGCACACAAAATTTCAACCTTTTTCCCACTAAGAGTTTTTTGGAGATCTGCACTGGATGCTAAAACAATTTCAATCGTTCGATCCTTATAGGCAGAATTTATCACCATATTATCTGCAAATAATATTTATCGATCATAAAAATATACACCATTATCCAACAAACACACACAAATAAACTAACAGAAATATAACTAAATAAAAATAATCAAAATATTTAAAAGTAACTTTTTTAAAGAAGATTAAAAGGACAAAAATGCAATGAAAGTTTAAATAAATAAAAATAATACAAAAAAAACATGAGACACAAAACAATTATCTTCTACGACCTCCCGAAATTCCTCACGCTTTTAGCAAATGCTGCTCTTTACCTTTTTTAATTTTAGTTGTGCCAAAAAAAAACATTCCATCATCCTTTAATGCTACTTAAGAAAGCAGTTTTTATAACTTTATTTCATTACAATTTATTTCTGTTGCTCAAAAAACATTCAAATAAACTTTAATCTTAAAACCTTACAGAATTAACTATACTTTATTCTTTGATATTCTTTACTTATCATCATGATCATTTAATTTTCAAATGCATAGGTTAACATTCCATTTTGCTTTAATGAAATCTCAAAAGCAAAATTCATGGAATCAGCTAAAAGCCTATTGATAAAAACATAACCAAAAGCTATTTTTAATTCCATTTCCCCTGCTTTTGTCTGCAGAGAGCAGGAACCGTTTGTTGATACACATGCCAGAAACATGGGTCACAAGTTAAGTACATTTCTTGTTCCTGCGAACAAAAGAACAACTTGTATTATGGAGCAGATCACATTAACCTTGGTCAAATAATTCATTTACCCAAGTGACACGTTGCGATCTTTTCCGTTTTGTACAGGAAAACATCCCACTGTTTATCACCAATCAGAAACACACAATGACTGTTTTGTACCTATCACAAAGAAGAACCCTCTTGAATAGAAGGATGCTCAAACTATCTGGTCTGTTACATTCATCCATACAATGTCACGTTTTGTGAATCAAACAAAGCCAATAACAAATGTTCCTTAAAATGGCGTATTATCATTGACTGAGAAAAAGAACGTTTCAGTTTTGTTTACGTTGAGCTTTTCATAATTTTAAACCAGCATAGTCGAATACGTTTGCAAAACGCTAACAAAGGATGTTTTGAATTATTTACAAATAGCAGTAGTAAATTTAATAAATAAAATGATACTTCATTTTCATCATCACATCAAATTTGCCAAGAGCTGAGAGAAAAACTTAAATATATATATATCTTAATGAGCGATAAAAATGAAAGAATACATGAATGCAAAGTAAAAAAACAAAAATGCACAGTGAAAAAATGACAAACCTCAATAACTTTTGGTAAGTAGGTAGGCACTTAATTTACGTCACACTAGAACTGCACAATGGGCTATTGGCGACGGTTTGAGAAACATCCCACAGGATGATTCGAAGACATGCCATCGCAATTTCGATCCTCTGCAGAGGGGATGGCTCCCCTGTTTTGGTAGTCTACGACCTGCGCACGAATTTGAGCAATTTATGGTAGAACAATTTAACAAGGACTGATACCGTACACCATCGGTCCCTACACAGGCTGATCAAAGTGGTCCCCCCCCCCGCTTGCTGAGAGCAGTCAGTGATGCTTGACTTCGGTGTTCTACTGGGAACCGAGTTTTTGCGATTAATCCACAACGGGACTCTATAACCTTTCATTTGGTTGGTTTTTGGAGTTCATTTACGTCGCACTAGAGCTGCACAATGGTCTATTGGCGACGGTCTGGGAAACATCCCAGAAGATGATACGAAGACACGCCATCACAATTTTGATCCTGTGCAGAGAGGATGGCACCCCCGTTCCGTTAGCCCGATGACATGCACGCGAAGTCGAGCACTTTACTGTAGAACAATTTAACGAGGACCGATACCGTACACCCTCGGTCCCTAAGCAGACTAATCCAAGTGGTCACCCACCCGCAGACAGACAGCAACCAGTGATGCTTGACTTCGGTGATCTGCTGGGAACCGTGTCTTAATGATCAGTCCACTGCGGGACCAATAACTTTCGAACTATTTTGATTTGATTCCTCGAATTATGTTTCAATCTAAACTGTAAAAAAGTGTTTCTTAAAATGGGGCAAAAATGTATCAAAGTAGTTCCAAAACAAATAATAGTCGAATTTGAAAATCCATGTATTTAAAATTGAGACAGCATATACTCGTTTTACAGCGAAAGTCATAGTATAATGTCCAGGGAGGAATGTGTCAGAGTGATGTTCGTCGACTTCCGGCACGATTCGAAGCAATGATCTCCAGCTTCTCAGTAGGATGTTCTTACCACCATAGTTGTACACCCCAGTCCAGGAACAGTAACGTTTTATATAGTAGCAGCAGAATGACTCATCACGACATGCTAACTTCCAATTTCCAATGGTACGAGAGGCTGCAATTTCGAAAATATGGTCCCAATAGCTTAGACAGGAGATCGGTAATTTAAACTTCACATTTTGCTTTTTAGCTATATCACAAAAACTTTAAAGTGAATGAAATGCATGTCGTGATGCGTCATTGCTTCCTAACTTTCCCTGCAGGAGGGGGGGGTGTACAATGCGCAAAATACAAAGCGAACCACCCTGTATAACTTTTGATCGAATGATCAAATCTTCCCGCTCTAGGACTGAATCTTAATGGCTCGAAGAGGGGACCTCAAATATGCTAATCAGTTAATGCAGACGATATTTACAAAATCAGACAGAAAAATGTACTTTCTCTGAATAAGCATACCTTTTTTTTGACAGATGCGGATTTCTGACCCCCAAAATATAGGAGGTAGACGTAATCTGAGAAGTATGGTCTCAATAGTTTGGTCGGGAGAACAGTCTAAAATTTGGACCCTATAATGATAATTTTATTTTTTGCGTAGTTCACGCTGTCTCAAGATCGTTTTAAACAACTTGAAAGTTTTTTTACACTCAAATGTAAAATTCTTTTATTCAAAGATAATGCCATGCAAAACATAACTCTCAGTAAGTGTTTATCATTTTATTTAATAATAGTCGAAAAACTTTTAAATAATAAGGTATAAAATTTTTTATGTCATTTTAAAGAGTGCAATTTCAAATGACGAAATGCAAAATTTGAGAGAAATCGGTCAATTAGTTTCTGAGGTATAAAATTTTGAAAAAGTGATAATTTTGAAATTTGATTTCGTGGGAACTATATGAACTATTTCGCTAAATTCCATATTTTGCCATTTAAAATTGCATTTTTCAAAGTGATGTTAAAAATTGTGTACCAATTCAAAATTTTTCAAACTTTTATTAAATAAGATAATAATAAATAATAAATATTTATCAAACTTTTTGTAGAAATAACAATACTTATCTTCTAAAAAACAGGCGTCCGTTTGAGATAAACGGTTTTATGCTGGAACACCAGCTAACAGTTTTTTTTTCCTTCTGTAAACTTAACAGATTCGCTTATAGTTTGTATGAGAAATGCGTAGCTTACGCGTTGTCATTCTCATAATTAAATGTAACTTTTCAATAAGATGAGATTGAATCTACCTTGTTTAAACTTTGAATCCCGTTAAAATATTTGAAATAATTTTTGAGTAAGTTGTCAGCGTCTTTAAATTCAAATTTTGCATATTATTTACAGTTTGTTTACTTTGAAGAAAAAAAAGTAACGTAAATAAATATATCAGAAATTCTTAAAAGTATTGGCTTTGAAATTTAAGAAAAATAAATACCTTGACTTCAACGATAAAACTTTAGAGGCCTTTTTAAAGTATTATTATTTGAAAATAAAACAGAACGCAGAAATATTTATAATTAGATTTGCGAAATAATGCAATGCTTGCGTTATCAGTTAAGCAAATATTGCAATACTTCTCAAATCTCATTACTGGAACTTCTAATAATAAATCCAACTTTCCGGTGTTTGGATTAAATTAAAATATTTAAACAATAACTAGACTTTCAATAAATTAAGTATACGAAAAATTTGTAAAACTATTTTCAACTTTGAATAAAAGTTTTAATGCATTATAAACACCCCTTTCTAATGAACTAAAACGTTTCGTCGAATTTGTAATTACTTTATGGAAAGTCATAGGATTTAGTTTCTTAAGAAAATAGTCTTTTTGGTTTTGACTAAATAGAGTTGCAGTCACATTGATTATTCGAGATACAATTCTTTGTAGTGTTAGCTTACTTCATAAAAATTGTTTCTTAATATACTTTTCGTAATTGCTAGTTTAAAAACAAGTTTAGCATAAAAATCATTTATGTATGTATGCAAACGCAACAAAAAAAATAGCTTGTTATGTCTTATATGCTTTTTTTTAACTTACTGTGTGGTGATATGAACTATATATTTGAAAGCCAGAATTTACGACATACCGTTACCATACGAAAGAAAAAATTATCAAGTTAATGGTTAAAATACCGTATGTTTTGGTTTTGTCACCCAGAATATTTTTTCGTCAGAAATGTTATTACCATACGGTATAATAATTTTACTAGAATTTTTTATCTTTGTGTATGTATTTAATGTAGATATTACTGATTATTATTATTTGGAATTCAGTAAAAAAATGCTTAGGAACATTTTTAATTAGGGGCTATTTTTCAAAATTTGGCATCATTTGGAAATTAAAAAATAGAACAAAATGTTAAATGGGAATATGTTGTCTTAAATCGTAATCAAGCACATATGAGCAATTCTACAAGTAAACGCCAATTAGGCGGCCAAAAAAAAATTTTAAAAATTTTGGGGGGCACACTATTTCTACATNAGATAATTGACTAGATAGGATGATAGGTAAAACTTTATAGTTTCAAAGATAAAACTTTAGAGACACTTTTAAAGTATTATTATTCGAAAATAAAACAGAACACAGAAATATTCGTAATTAGATTTCCAAAATAATGCAATGCTTGCGTTATCAGCTAAGCAAATATTGCAATACTTCTCAAATCTCATTACTGGAACTTCTAATATAAAATCCAACTTTCCGGTGTTGAGATAAAATCAAAACATTTAAACAATAACTAGACTTTCAATAAATTAGTTATATATACGAAAAATTTGTCGAACTATTTTCAACTTTGAATGAAAGTTTTAATGCATTATAAACACCACTTTCTAATGAACTAAAATGTTTCGTCGAATTTGTAATTACTTTATGGAAAGTCCTAGAATTTAGTTTCCTAAGAAAATATTTTTTTTGGTTTTGACTAAATGGAATTGCAGTCACATTGATTATTCGAGATACAATTCTTTGCAGTGTTAAACTCACTTCATAAAAATTGTTTCTTAATATACTTTTCGTAATTGTATGTTTAAAAACAAGTTCAGCATAAAAATCATTTATGTATGTATGCAAACGTAACAAAAAAAATAGCTTGCTATGTCTTATATGTTTTTTTAAAATTATTTTACTAGACATTTTTGCTTTTGTATGTTCGATTAACGATTTTTTCAGCATTCCTTTCTCAATAATTTGAAATTTCAAACTAAATTACATTTATTATCAATGATGAATCGGTCTACCTGGTAGAACAATTTATTAATCGGCTGCCAAAAATCCATCTTCGAGTTTTCTTGTATTTCAGGAAACATTACACTGAGAAAAAAGTATCGGAAAACAGATCAAAGCTATCAGAATATGGAAAAATTTACCTTGTTTTTGGCTCTATTCGGGAACCAAAAATCTCGGTAATATTTATCGAAGCGCTTTTGATGATTTCGATAAAATTAAAAATGGAATATGGCTATTTAATATGTGATAAAATTTGGTAAATGTGGTAACCTTTGGATAATTTCATGATGATACCTAAGAACATGGCATAAAAACCATTTATTATGTTAAATTTACATTTTAGTTTTGCATTTTTTACTAACTGTGTGGGGATATGAACTATATATTTGAAAACGTGAATCTACGGCATACCGTTACCATGTGAAAGAAAAAATTACCAAGTTAATGGTTTAAATACCGTGTGTTTTGGTTTTGTTACCCAGAATTTTTTTATCAGAAATATAATTACAATACAGTATAATAGATTTACAATAATTTTTTTTATCTCCGTGTATGTATTTAATGTAGATATTATTAATTATTATGATTTTGAATTCAGCAACAAAAATGCTTTAGTGCATTTTTGAATTAGGGGTTTTTTCAAAATTCGGCATCATTTGGAAATTGAAAAAATGAAACAAAAATGTTAAATGAGAATATGTAATTTTGAAGCGTAATCAAGCACATATACTTCTTATATATTATTTAAATGTTTTTTACTAATCATATTCTTATTTTTATTATATTTAGTTGATACATAATTGGCCAGATATAATGATAAATAAAACTTTATAGTTGCAAAGATAAAACTTTAGAGACATTTTTAAAGTATTATTATTCGAAAATAAAACAGAACGCAGAAATATTCGTAATTAGATTTGCAAAATAATGCAATGCTTGCGTTATCAGCTAAGCAAATATTGCAATACTTCTTAAATCTCATTACTGGAACTTCTAGTAAAAAATCCAACTTTCCGGTGTTTGGATAAAATTAAAATATTTAAACAATAACTAGACTTTCAATAAATTAGTTATGTATACGAAAAATTCGTAGAACTATTTTCAACTTTGAATAAAAGTTTTAATGCATTATAAACACTACTTTCTAATGAACTAAAATATTTTGTCGAATTTGTTATTACTTTATGGAAAGTAATATAATTTAGTTTCTTAAGAAAATATTTTATTTGGTCTAGACTTAAATAGAAAAGCAGTCATATTGATTATTCGAAGTAAAATTCTTTGTGCTATTAAATTCACGTTATAAAAATAGTTTCTTAATTTTCTTTTCATAATTGCTTGTTTAAAAACAGGCTGGATATCCTAAAAATTATTTATGTATGTGCATATGTAAAAAGAATTTTTTTTCTAATATACTAAACATTTTTTTAATGTTCGAATAAAATTTTTTCTATTTTCCTTTTTTAATAATCTTGAATTTCAAATTAAATTACTTTTATAATTATTGTTGAGTACGTGTACCTAGTAGAAAAATTTATCAATGCTCTATCAACGATCCATAATTGAATTTTAGATTTCAGAAAACATTAGGTATTTAATGTATTATTAATCTATTACTAATTATTATTTTTGTGACTTTACAAAAAAAAGTTACGTATTATGTTCCGAACATAACATATTCTAAAAAAAATTTATATTCTTTAAGGATAATGAAGCACATATACTTCTAAACTATTTAAATATTTTTCAAATATTTCTTTTTCATCTTATAATGTTTAATTGTATTTAGTTTATACGTTTTTGTTCAGATATAATGAAATTTATCATGTTTTTTAAGAAACGAAACGGAAAACATTAAGTAAAAAAATAAATACGAAATAAAACTTACCATATTTTTCAAAAAACGAAACGGAAAACATTGAGTAAAAAAAATAAATACGAAATAAAACTTATCATGTTTTTTTTAAAAAACGAAACGGAAAACATTAAGTAAAAAAATAAATACGAAATAAAACTTATCAAGCAAAAAACAGAAAATATAGAACAAAACACAAAGCGAAATCTATAAGGCGAGTAGCGGATTCAAATGGACTTACCTTTATTATGTTCCACTTTTTTTAAAATTTTTTTATCAATCTTGGCGAAGTTCTTCAAATTCAAAGCTATCTTTAGAAGTCAAAGATATAAATAGATTTTACTGAGATTTTCTATCATATAGATCTTTTTTCAAATGTAGAAGTTTGACCTACGATGGGTCAGTGGATAGAGCGTCCGCCTTCTAATGAAGTGAGCCGGATTCGAATCTCCAGCGGGGGCTGGTCGAATCGAATCCGCATTTAACTTGCACTACCCACCGTGCACACGTAAAATATCCTCAGTGGTTGACGGATAATGGGTTAGAGTCCCTTTGTCGTCAGATTAACTGTAGGAGGTTCTCATGGTCTCTCTCTCTCCGTGTAACGCAAATGCGGCAAAAGTTCTGCACGAAGTCAAAAATCTCCCAATACTTGATACAAGAGTTCCCTCGTCTTCTGAATTGAGTTCAAAATTACAAGGCTACGGAGTTGAATATGATTAGTCGTAAACCTAAAAAAGTGGGTCGGCTATTCAACAACGGTTATAAAATTTAGAAAAAATTGTAGAAGTTTCAAATTTGTGGTTTAAAATTAATCCACTTTAATTACCATTCCTACGCTTTAATCACAAACCACAGTTATGTGTAAAAATGTCTGTGCATTCTCTGAATTAACAAAGTGCTGTGAATTAATTAATTGCAACAACAAAAATAGCAGGAAAGTAAAAATAAAAGAATGTATTTTTCACAGTAAAGATGCGATACTTTGTGCTATATAGTCTAAAAAAAACAAAAAACAACGTGAATAAAACATAGTTGAAAGCATGTAAACTAACATACTGTAGTTTTAGTTCTATAAACAAGAACCTTCCTCAGTGTCGACATCGACGTTCTTCAATGTCTAAACGCATTTATTGAGGTTTCTTTTTATATTATATAACCGTCGTTGAACAACTTACACAATGTTTTGGGTTTACGACTATTAATGTGCAACTCCGTAGCCTTGTAATTTTGAACCTAATCCAGAAGACAAGGGAACTCCTGGATCAAGTGTTGGGCGAAATCTGCCTTCGTTGAGGACTTTTTAACGGAACTACCCTGCATTTGCGTTATATACAGAATGAGACCACGAGAACCTCCCATGGTTAGCCTGACGTCAAGGGGACTCAAACCCCTGATCCGTCTACCACT